CCCGTTAGATTTTAAATATCCTATTAGAGACTAGCATTCAGCCCAATTAGATCTTTATTCAAACCTTTGTGTTTTATTCTAACTTGCTAAATAACATCACTGTTTACTTTGTTTTATTTGTTCATGGTTTTTTACAATTTTTGTAGGCGATTTATGTTTCTCTGTTATATCTAATAAAATCTTTGTATAAGGCGCTATAAATACAGTTTAACAACAATTTAATATCATAGGATTAAAAAAAATGATAATTAATTTATACATTTTTGTGTCCTGTAGGATCGTGGGATATTAAAGGCGGGGCAACTGAGGCTGAGTCCTAAGGAAACTGAATCCCTGCGTGAGCCGCTTTATCACTCTCTAAATGAGGGGTATGGCCCCCTCCCTCCCTCCTCTTTAATCATTAAAGCCCTGTGGCTTTCATAGAGGTGTCACAAACTGAAGAGATTCCTTTCTTCCCTATTTTTAAGCATTTAGCTCCGTTTTAATTCTTTGTAATCTGTTATTTTGCTGCAGACCAGCAGGTTATTTTTATCCAATTTCTTGTTCTTTTTTTTTTTTTTAAAGGGCCTGTTTTTGGTGTGGCATTGCTTTAATGCTGCTGTTCTGCTTTTATTTCTGAGTGCAGCCAGTAGCAAGTCAAAGGTGACAACCATGCAGACTGGGAAAACAAAGGAAATGTGTTTACGTGGTGCTCACCTTGCATGGCAGGTGTAAACATTAGTTTTTGTTATAAGTTGTTACAATCTATTTTTTCTCTCTTTAGTTTAATTAATGATGTTGAACTTCTGAATAGCCTTTGGACTGCATATTTATTTGTTTAGTGCTACTACCATGTGAACTCCAACGGCAACGAATCAACAAAATGAACAAACTGAGATGTCTCAGCGTTATTGTCTACTGAACTGGAAAATATCATAAATGTTGCAAAAAATATACCGAGGAATGTACTTGTGTGGACTTTTGATAATGACAATGCTGTTCGGTTTGATTTCACAGCGCTTCTATTGTGGTTTTAAAGTGGTTCTTCAGTGGTCCTAGAATTTTGCAGTAATGCTGCAAAAATAACCTTTACCGCGAGTCATTTCATGGAGAACTCAGCCATGTGACGGCAGGATTAAAGAGTTTTATTATGTGGCTTTATGTGGGAGTGAAATCTCACCCTGCTGTGTGTGTTTTACACCGTTTTAAAGAACAGTTCCTGATGAAATGACTCAGACCGATTATTTCTGCCATTGTCTGGTGAAGGTGTTTACAGAAGGAGGAAGCATCAAGGACACTTTGAAAAAAAACAAAAAAACATAGCAGCTTCTCAGTTTGTTGCTCTTACTTTGTCATACTACATGATTGTATATGAAACATAGGGATAAGTACTAATATGTATTTGATTTTTGCCTTGTCTGTGGTTAAAAGCTATTATTATGATTATTATTACAAATATATATCTATTTTTTGTACATTTTATTTTCCCACATGGTGATTTGTAAAGCGGGCCTGGCTTTGCTGCTTCCCCCTTTGAGAAGCTCCCAGGCAATCATAGATATAGATGCTGTTCCGTGTCCCTGCATGCATGCCAAGCCTTTCTTCGCCTCACAGTGGAAATTGCCTCAAAGTAGTGAATTTGTGAATGGCATTCCGGTATCACAGTGCTTACAGAAAATTTTGCAGGAGGTTTTAATTTTAACATTGTTTTAGCTTGTATGAACCAGAGCATGGTTGTTGTTGGCCATAGCCTTCATGAGTATCTTCCAAGAATAATATAAGATTTCTTTTTTAATGAAAGAGTTGATTTTGTTTAGTTTTCCATCCCTTATTAAACTAAAATGATATGTTTATACTACTCCTGTAACGATAACCATGAGTATAACGGGTTATTTAATCAAACTATTTGCTCGGGCTGCTAGCCTGAATTTAGCAGGTTAGAGGTGCGTTCACATCGAATGTATTCTGGGTCTTAAAGCATCCGACTTGCATGCAAAGTCTGTGGAAAACGCCGTTATTACAGCACTGAAACATTTTTAATGAGCTATGGAGAACCGTTGATAAATACCTAAAGCTAAAGTGTTTTCTAGCTTGTAACGACAGAACAGAGCAGATAAACAAACAGTGCGTAGAACACGGGGCATTTGACCCAGCATCCAAGTTTTTGACACCCAAAACCTGTTTGGTGTGAACGCATTAGAGATACGGCACATAACCTGCCTGTTGTAGTTTAAAATCCCAAAAAACATTATAAGATTGATTAGCACTAGCCTATAGTTCAGCACCATTACTGCTCATGTTTTTTTTTCCAGCAGGGAATACTTATTGAAACTGAAAGAAAAGTGGGCAACAAGTGGGGGTGGGGCAAAACTTAATTTAAGTCTAAAGCTACTGAAAAGCCTCTGCTGATTTAGAATATATTCTTTTAATATTGTTTTATGTTGATTTCCTCGCAGAGTGCTAGCAGACCCTAATGTTTAATAGGATTCAATGTGTGTGGTTTTTACATTATAACCTATAAAAACCCTGGCAAACCTTGCTAACAGCCTCCGACCAATGCTAGAAAAACAAGCAGCCAAATGCACTTCTTCAAAAAGCTAACGTATATATTTTTTGTTTTTATGAATAATATGAAAACAGGCAAAATTGCAGAACTTGGTTGCAGTTAAATGCAATAAAAATTCACAGATACAGGGCTGAAAATGTTGCGAAGTAAACAGGCAGACAGAAATGGTATGCAAGTTAGCCTTCGTGTGCTGAGATAAATAGCGGCAAACCTTGCTAACATCCTCCGACCAATGCTAGAAAACCAAGCAGCTAAATGCACCCCTACAAAAAGCTAATATACATATTTTCTGCTGTTATAAAAAATAAGAATTTGGTTGCAGTAAAATGCGATGAAAATCCACAGATACAGGGCTGCAAATATTGCTAAGTAAACCGCAGACAGAATGGTATGCAAGTTAGCCGTCGTGTGCTGAGATACATAGCAGCTTAATGCAGTTAGCTTGCTCAAATTTAC